TTGTTTGTTGAATTGGAAAATAGTATTTTTAATTTCAACACTGTTTTATGATGACTGTGATTTTTGTATATTTGGAGATTTTAATGCAAAAAGTGGTAGACTTGCTGACTTTACAGACTTAAATAAGTACATTGCTGATAGGTTTTTTGATAACAGTACAAAACAATTGATTGGACAAAGTCGTCTTATTGAATTAGGATTTCCTGTCGATCGTTACTCACGTGATATGCATAACTGTAACAACAAGATATGTTTGTAAAACAAGTATGCCCCCTATCAGCAGCCAATTAGTCATGTGAAAAGGTTATTATGCATGACTTCTGACCCAGTGATCAAACAATTAATAAGGGTTATCAAGTATCTACTGGTCATGACCTTAACCTTTGACCCAAAACTCAATAGGGGTCATCTGCTGGTCACGACCAATCATCATACAAAGTTTGAAGTTCCTAGGCCTAAGTGTTTTTAGTTAATTGATCGGAAACCGTTTTAACATACAAGGTCAATGTGACCTTGACCTTTGACCCCTTGACCCCAAAATCAATAGGTCATCTGCTGGTCATGACCAATCACCATACCATGTTTGAAGTTCCTAGGCCAAAGGGTTCTTAAGTTATTGATTTGAAAGCATTTTACCTACAAGGTCAATGTGACCTTGCCCTTTGACCCCTTAACCCCAATATCAATAGGGGTCATCTACTGGTCATGACCAATCACCATACCAAGTTTGTAGTTCCTAGGCCTAAGGGTTCTTCAGTTATTGATCGGAAACCGTTTTTACCTAAGAGGTAAATGTGACCTTGACCTTTGACCCCTTGACCCCAAAATCAATAGGGGTCATCTACTGATCATGACCAATCACCATATCAAGTTTGAAGTCCTTAGGCCTAAGGGTTCTTTCGTTATTGATCGGAAACCGTTTTTACCTTCAAAGTCAATGTGACCTTGACCTTTGACCCCTTAACCCCAAAATCAATAGGGGTCATCTGCTGGTCATGACCAATCACCATACCAAGTTTGAAGTTCCTAGGCCTAAGGTTTCTTTCATTATTGATCGGAAATCGTTTTTACCTACAAGGTCAATGTGACCTTGACCTTTGATCCCTTAACCCCAAAATCAATAGGGGTCATCTGCTGATCATGACCAATCACCATACCAAGTTTGAAGTTCCTATGCCAAAGGGTTCTTTTGTTAATGATCAGAAACCGTTTTTACCCAAGAGGTCAATGTGACCTTGACCTTTGACCCCTTGACCCCAAAATCAATAGGGGTCATCTACTGATCATGACCAATCACCATACCAAGTTTGAAGTTCCTAGGCCTTAAAGTTCTTTAGTTATTGATCAGAAACCGTTATTGCTTACAAGGTCAATGTGACCTTGACCTTTGACCCCTTGACCCCAAAATCAATAGGGGTCATCTACTGATCATGACCAATCACCATACCAAGTTTGAAGTTCCTAGGCCTAAAAGTTCTTTAGTTATTGATTGGAAACCGTTTTCATTTACAAGGTCAATGTGACCTTGACCTTTGACCCCTTGACCCCAAAATCAATAGGGATCATCTACTGATAATGACCAATCACCATACCAAGTTTGAAGTTCCTAGGCCTTAAAGTTCTTTAGTTATTGATCGGAAACCGTTTTTGTTTACAAGGTCAATGTGACCTTGACCTTTGACCCTTTGATCCCAAAATCAATAGGGGTCATCTACTGGTCATGACCAATCATCATACCAAATTTGAAGTTCCTAAGCCTTAAGGTTCTTTAGTTATTGATCGGAAACCGTTTTTGCTTACAAGGTCAATGTGACCTTGACCTTTGACCCCTTGACCCCAAAATCAATAGGGGTCATCTACTGGTCATGACCAATCACCATACCAAGTTTGAAGTTCCTAGGCCTAAGGGTTCTTTAGTTATCACTCGGAAACCATTTGGTCTACGGACCGACGGACCGACGGACCGACGGACCGACAAGTGCAAAGCAATATACCCCCTTTTTTTCGAAATGGGGGCATAATTATGGAAATAGACTTCTTCAGGTTTGTAAATTTACAGATGTCCATATTGCTAATGGTCGATGTGGTGCTGATGCCTATATAGGAAAATGCACAACTACAAATACTAGTCTGATTGATTATGTTTTATTGTCTGCTATTAACTTTCCCAAAGTAACCCACTTTGATGTGACAGATTTTAATCCACTATTTTCTGATGTTCATTGTGGTATAGAATTATGTTTTAATATTATTGGAGAGGATCTTACTTGTAATGTAGATAATTCGGTTTCGCAAAACGATAACAATGAGGCCATTATTAAATCAACATGGGATAAAAATCTGAAGGATGATTATATAAATCAGTTTGATAATATCGATACAAATAATATTACAGAAGAATTGATTAAAATATTAAATGATAAGAATTATAACGATGAATGTATTAATTCCTTGACTGAAAAACTGTCAAGTATCATAACTAACGCTGCTAAAAGGTGTAATTTAATACAAGAAAAAAATATTTCACAGAAAGAAAAAATGCAAAATTGACCAAAAATGGTTCGACAAAGATTGCTCGAAATTTAGAAAGGAATATTACCTAAGCAGAAATACCTATAGGAAAAATAAAACCGAAGGTTATAAAAACCTTATGATGATAAACAGTAAAAGATATAAAAAAGAATTAAATAAAAAGTTTAACAGTTTCAATGACAATGTCATAAAAAAACTGAGAGGACTAAAGCATAGTGATCCTAAATCTTATTGGAGTTTATTAAATAAATATTCTTCTGATAAAAAAGTGAATAAATAAAATAACTAATGAGGTTTTCCATGAGCATTCCAGTAATTTGAATGCAGATATTTTAAGAAATGAAAATGACGTAGATAATTTAATGTTAACAACTTACCAATGTTTAATGGGGGCACTGAATTCGCAATTTACTGAGCAAGAAATAGATAAGGCTATAAAGGCGCTTAAGAATAATAAAAGATCCATCTATATTTGATAATATTATTTAATGAGTATCTCAAAAATGCTCCTGATAATCTGCTGCCTGTACTTAAGCTATTTTTTAACATTATATTAGACTCTGGTATCTTTCCGGATGTGTGGAGCAAGGGAGTTATCTTACCATTGTATAAATGATCCGGATAATTACAGGGGCATAACAATACTCAGTTGCTTTGGAAAACTTTTCACTTCGGTACTTAATAACAGATTAAATGACTTCTTGGAATCAAACAACATTCTATGTGAAGAACAAGCAGGTTTCAGGAAGCATTATAGTACTGTTGATCACATATTTTTCATTAAAACTTCTAGTGGGACGTATATCTAGCACATTGCAAAAAAATTGTATTGTGCATTTGTAGATTATCGCAAGGCCTTTGATTCTGTAAATCGCACTGCCATGTGGCATAAATTATTAAGTTACAATATTGATGGGAAATGCTTTAAAATAATACACAATATGTATGACAAAGCTAAGTCATGTGTTAGTTCGAATAATACAATTTCAGATTTTTTCACTAGTCATACTGGAGTAAGACAAGGTGAAAACTTATCTCCAATATTGTTTTCTCTTTTCTTGAATGATCTAACTAATTTTATGTCTAATATGAAGGTTTGCAGTTTCTAAAAAAACATATAAATGATATGTTAAGTGATGATGAAATGGAAGTTTATCTTAAACTGTATTTACTATTGTATGCAGATGACACTGTAATATTGTCAGAGAGCTCTCAGCAGCTTCAGTTAGCATTAAACGCTATGTCTGACTACTGCAAGCTTTGGAATCTTGAAGTAAATACAAATAAAACCAAAGTTATTATATTTTGGAAAACCAAGAGAGGTTTGCGTAATATGCCCTAACTTTTCACTATGAGGGGACTGTCCTTGAAATTGTTGAGCATTTTCTCATATTTAGGTGTACAATTTTTCATTTAATGGTAACTTCAGCAGAAACTAAAACATTCCTTATTGATCAAGCCCGTAAAGCCATGTTTTCTGTAAAATTAGGAAAATCTAGGATACTTAATTTACCAATAGATATGCAATTTACACTTGTTTGATACAATGATAGCACCCATTTTGTTGTATGGGTGTGAAGTTTGGGGTGTTGAAGATGCGAGTGTTGTGGATAAATTTTCAATTAAAATACCTAAAGATAATTCTACAGTTGAAACAGAGTACTCCAAATTGTTATGATTTATGGGGAGTTGGTATTACCCCACTTTCAACACAAATTAAAAGTAGAGTTCTTAATTACTGGGGTAAAATAGTTAATTCTAAACATGATAAGATAATCAGATTCTATATAGAACAATTCATAATTTATATACTCTGAATAATATTAAATCAGATTGGGTCTGTTTTGTTCGAAATAATTTAAATGATCTTGGATTGTCGCATTTCTGGATAAATCAAAATGTGGAATCTCCTGCTTCATTCAAGAATACTGTCAACTTAAGACTGCGTGATCATTTTATGCAAAATTGGAGATGTACAATTAATAATTCCAGTAAATGTCTAAATTACAGGATTTATAAACAGGAGTTTTGTTTTGAGCCATACCTCAGCAAGTTACCTATGAATTTAGCTTTAATTCTCTTTAAATTTAGAAGTATGAATCACAAACTTCCTATTGAAAAAGGAAGGTTTGATGATATTCCAAGAGAACTTAGAACTTGTAATCTATGTACCAGTAACTCTTTAGGCGACGAATTCCATTATCTTTTTGAATGTTCACATTTAGTTAATGAAAAAAAAATTTAAAAAAAAAACAAAAACGGTTTGATCTTCAATTGTACTCTTCTTTTACAAACTATTCTGACATTTTCTGCACATCTTTTCTCGTCTTAAAAACAAATTTATAAGCATGCATTATAATACTAATTGTATTACATTTGTTTGCTGGAAATATAGCAATTATACTACATTTATTAAGGTTTGACAACATTTTCAAATTCATTAGAAATAAATAAAACAAACGCAGGCATAAAAGTTAAAAAGCTTTCTTTTTTAATTATGTTATTAGAATTTTATTCAAATGTAAAGGAATCTGATATCTAACGCTTTGACTTGTTGACACAACAAAACACCCTTTTTTAACAAACTACAAAAACGCCCATCTCGTTTCTCCTCCTTTTCTGATGTAATGCAAATATTTGTATCGGAGATTCCTTTAACTGGAATGAAATTGTTCGAGATGTTGTGTTTAACTGTGTCGTCTGCGAGAAAACACGTATGACGGCTATCAGTGTCTACATCGCCTGAAACTGCATCCACGCCGTTTACGAAGCTTTCGAAAATCATGCTTTGGCTTCTTACGGCATCGTTGGACCAAAAGTTATCGTCGTCTGCGTGCGATGGTAATTTTACTGGTAAAGATTCGCTGCTTTCTGATAATCTTGAAACAATTTGGTGGGATGAATTAACATCTTGATAAGATATTGTTGGGATAGAAATATGTTGAGAATTGTCCACGAGTTGCTCAAAATCTAATGACTTTATTTCAGAAACGTATTCTGTTTTTTTAGGGTACTGGACCTTTGGAGGTTGAAGAGTTTGTCTGCACCAGATGTCACCTTGTTCTGACATGTAAACCTCGCGTATAGTTGAGGTAAAGTTGTCCCAGACTTCGGCTTGGTTCGCACTTGTACACATCTGGTATACCTGAGTGGATTTGAATTGACTTCTTACCTGGAAAAATAATACACGTAATGAAATACAGTTAACCAATACTTTTGATTATAAGAATGAGCAGAATAATTTCTGGTAAAAGTAAACATTTAAAACTCTTATGTGAATTTACTATTTATTCTCTAGTTTGAATTCTAATATAATACATGTAGAAAAACCACTTCATTTGCCTAATCACAAAGGTATAGTTACACGTATATTAGTCAGGTGTCATAAAAGAATGTAATATTTATAATTAATTATTACAACAACAACTCTTAAGTCTCGCTGAGGAATCTCTAGTTAGTACAAGGATTTCATACAAAGTGTGACTGTGACATTTGACCTTAAAATTAATATGGGCTATGGCTCGTGATCCAAGTTCCTCAAAATAAATAGGGGTTAGCTACTTGCTATGGGCAGCAATGTCCCATAAACATTTCAAACGTAGGACGAATATTTCTCAATTTCTCTATTGACCGGACGAGATATTAAACAGAGTTTCTTAGTGGCCTTGACCTTTGACCTAATGATCTCAAAATCAATAAGGGTCATATACTGTCCATTGGCTATATATTCCTACAAAGTTACATAAATCTGGACTTATATCATCTCAAGCTATTGATGGGACAATGGTAAGAGGACGTATGTGCGTACGGACGGATGTGTCGAACACCTCATTACAGAATGACTTCCTCATTTCAAAAGATGTCATAAGATCTACATCGTTAAATGGCGATTAAACTTAAACAGTCCTCTTTTTAAAAAAAAAATAATTGCTAATACGATTATTTTTTTAGTTTTAAACGTCGGGTCATTAAATTGTCGATCTTAAAATGCTTACACTATACAAGGCACTGACATGCTGAAATATAGAGAAATAAAACAACAACAACAACGACGACGACGACGACGACAACAACATGAAATATGAACAATGAATGGAGAATCAAGATTATACTTCGGGACGAATCAAATCATTCTCAGAACGCAGTGTACAACTATAAATGAACTAAATTGCTTACTTAACTCGTACACTTCTCGCTTTTATAAGTAAATTTTGTTTACCTTTATTTTTTTTGCTAAGTTCTGGTAAGATAGGGACAGCATCCTCAAAGGTAGGAGAGACAACAACTCGTAATCCATGACGTCACCACTGAGAACCACTCTTGCTATTGTGAGGCACTGGATCCCGAGGCCCAGGCAGAGTAGGTTAGTGGCGTGATCTCCGATCAGCCCCACAAATCTTCCCTCAGCTAGGAGTCTTTCGTCAATGTTGTACTTCTCACGCAATATCTTTTGTAACGTAGGTTCTTCCATTTTTTTTCTATAATAGGAAAGGTATGTAACATGTATTTTGTAATAGATAATCACGTTAATTGTTTTGAACTACCCAGCTAAAAGAAAACTGACTCATTTCAAGTGACATTATTCTCTTTCTTTTTTTCATTGTCAAGTGGAGCTGATTTCAAAAGATTGACGGTCATAATGGCGATTAACCAACAGTTCATATTGGAAAATGACACTTAAGATAGGTTTTATTTAATATTAAAAATATATTTGAAAATACTTGTGTATGTTGACAAAGCTGGTGTGTTCAGACTCAAACGGACTCGCTTTTGTTCATCATTTGCAAGCAACAATAAAACAAAATAGTTACGCATTTGTTTGAGAAATGGTGTACCTTAATATTGTCTGTATTTAAACGTCAAAAGTAAATTAAGAAATTGTTATTATCAATATTTTCTGAATTTATCGATGGATTGGTCTACCATTGGCCCATTGTTCATAAGATTTCAAATATTGATAAAACAAAAGACGCAGTATAAATATTTATTATATACATGTATGCACTTTTAGATGAAATATTGATGAAATAAAATGCATAATTTCATTTTCCGTATTTTCATTGTATTTTTTTACACTGTAGTGAAACTTTTTTTCGTAGTTTCACTGGTATCTTGCCAGACTACTTTCTTCTAAATTAAGCCAATACACAAAATTTAAGGGAAAATTTATTCAGTCTTAAGGTCAAAATAGAGAAGAAGTATATGATAAACAGAAAATTCAAGTTTTTTTTCTATAAATACGAGATTTATAGTAAAACTTGGATATTCTCTTTTTATTTCATGAGTAATAACATATTGTTCTAGATAATTTTATCATCTGACATATAAAATATATCTTATCAGATGATATATCTAATACTTACTTACAACATTCATACATTATTAGTTCCTGGTTTGTAGTCATGTATGTACGGAAACGTTTACTTAATACAATCATAATTATTTATGGTATTAAAGACCTTCCGCTATGCACTTATTCACTTTAATTGATGTACGAATTAAAACACTAATGAAACTACTGTAAATTTATCAAAAATAAATATTTTTTAAAATGTACATCCCAATAAAAAAAGTTTGCTCTACACGTTATGTGCGAAGAAAATGGTATACTTTTCATTTCTTCTTTCTCCAAACATTTCAGCTGATTACTTATCAACTGCATAAAAATGTGTCTGAAGAAAGTTTTCAAAATATATTTAAGTTTAAATGCAATAGTCGATCCTTGATTGACTTTTTTTCTTTGATATATGGACAGGTAAATTCAAATACCAATACGTTTCCCTTTTTTTTGAAGAAGAAAAAAAAAAAAAAAAAAAGATTTTTTAAATAAAATCAATCTACGAAATCGTAATCTGATCAATTCTGATTATATTATAATAAAATCACAGCAACTCTTTAACACACATTTTGTGTGCGTATATTAGGAAATAGATTTCAGTTTGTTTTTGGTGCCACGGGAAAAATATGAAGTACGTTTTCATCACTAAAATTGAACCATCATTTACAAAAAAAAATATGAAAAAGTTTACCTTGTCTCAGTTTTTATTGTGGTTTTCTTTATGAAACTCAGTAAATCGCTCTTAATGTACTATGCTGGCTTTTCGTCGTGTCATAGAAACAACGTTACGTTATCAACGTCACTCATGCAGAAATGACGTCAAAATGACGTTGAATATTCAACATTTGGTTTTCTTATACTTATATTATCGTTATTGATAGTGAACATTTTTTTGAATGTATAATACATTGCCTTCCTTGCTGCTTAACATAAACAGAAAATTTATATGATGTGCAAAGAGAATCTTGATCTGATTTTATTTTGTTGAAAAAAATTCTCTTGGCACAGAAACAAAAAGTAAATGCGTGTCCAATACAAGAAATAAACAAAAGTGCTATTACTGATTAATTTGTTAATTGATAAATAAAGTAGTATGCACTTTAAATGTGAAAAGGAAATAAAAGTGAAAATCAATCTTTTTTATTTAAATTTTAAGTACAATTTGAGTTAGAACGTTAAACGAGTAAAGTTTATATTCATTATATCAAGTACATGTCAACTTAAATTATTATTATTATTATTCATTATTATTATTATTATTATTATTATTATTATTATTAGGGGGGTAATCGAATAGGTCATTTGTCGATTTGTCTACTTTCCAGCTTTACCTCATTATTTCAGACTCGAACAACCACCGACGTTCCGTTATTTAGCAAGCTAGTTGGATTGCTTCTTCACATGAAAGAATCCAAAGTCCTTGTCGGGATTTGAATCCACAGCAGGATAAGTGGTTTGAAGTCAACGACCTTTAACCATTCGGCCATGGATGCCCTCTAAATTAAGTAAATATATAGATATACATATTAAAAACATTGTTTATATGATAACTATTAATTGTTCACCTCTTGACGATTTCGGACTCGGTTATAACTGGTACATAATGAACATTCTGTTTGTCAGATTATTTTCAATCAACATTCTACCGAAATTAACTTTATTTTCCGTTAGATGTAAAAAAGATAAATTCGTCACTCATTATCTCTGTTTTTGTTTATATCTGGTTCCCTGTTCAGTAACGAAAGATCAGGATCAGAATCATGTGATCTTGATTTTATTTTCATTGTTTTATTAAACTAAAACTGATATTATTTTCCTAGAATTAAATGACACATAAACAAAATGTAAATGAATTCTTATTTGCACAGAAACGGCACTATTTCGGGATGAACTCGACAAAAAACAAAACAATTACAAAAATAATCGGATCAAAATAAGGACCTACATCAAATGGAACACAAAATTGAATTTTTTCCAGACCCTTCAAGAAGAAAAAAAAACAGTGGAGTAGTTACTTTCCCGTTCAATTAGTGTTTCTTTTTTTTCCCCTTTTTCATGTTGGCAAAATGTAAATTTGCCGTTTCATAGAAAATTCCCGAATGAGAACCTAAAAGTATTCATCATTATTCGAAATCATCTTCTATCAGTACTTTGATAAACTTATTTTATTATTGCTTGCTGGCAAAAAGTAAATTTACAGGAGGAAATGTAAAGAAATGCAATAAAATCGATTGACAACATTTTATAATGATTTGCCCAGAAGAAGTTCTAAGTATTAGTAATTTAACATTGACAGTTGCGAAATATTATGAGCGAATTTGTCATAGTTTTCTGCCTGAGTTAGCATATACAGACATTGCCTACATTAAAATTGTAAATTTCCTTCCAGCTGTTATCAATAATTTAGCCGCGTCACGACAAAACCAACATAGTGGGTTTGCAACCAGCATGGATCCAGACCAGTCTGATCAGGATCTATGCTGTTCGCTATCAGTTTCTCTACTTGTTATAGGGTTGGTAAGCGAACAGCATGGATCCTGATCAGACTGCGCGGATGCGCAGGCTGGTCTGGATCCATGCTGATCGCAAACCCACTATGTTGGTTTTGTCGTGACGCGGCTTATATCTCAATAAAATGAGCAATAAAATCTCGATTGTCATGTTTTACAGCAAATTCGTCTTTGTCGTTTTCTCAGCAAAGTAAAACTCTATTCATTTACAAGGAACTTAAATTTAAAGAGGGTGACAAAATGTTGATTAAAGTCAGCATTTGTTTTATTCTGTTTAGTTGTAAGTGAGGAAACTAGGATCGGATTATGAAATTCTATTACTATTTTTTCTTTCTTTCTTGAAAACGTGTATTCTTATCTATGAGCCGCTTCACGACAAAACCAACATATTGCATCCGCGCAGACGGATCAGAATCCATGCTGTTCGCTTACAAACCCTCTTACAAGTAGAGAAACTGATAGCGAACAGCATGGATCCTGATCAGACTGTGCGGATGCGCAGGCTGGTCTGGATCCATGCTGGTCGCAAACGCACTATGTTGGTTTTGTCGTGACGCAGCTCATAGATTGAGATGAGACGAGTGATTACTGAATTGAGGTTTAATTAATAAATAGAGGATGTATAATAAGTATAGGGTCAATACTGTATTAACTGAACGAGTTGAATTAAAGTATAATATGAGAGTCTCAGATGAGCATATTATAGGGCCCGTAAGTCTCGTTTACTTTCACTTTCGATTTACCACTTCCGGGTACATCGGCAGACTTATTTACCGTTACGCATATAGGTAACCCGAAGAACTCGAGGGATATAAAAGTTAAATTTGTTTCGGTCCTCTTCAGATTTGAAGGAATGGATAGCACGGGTCAAAAAATGCAGGTAGGTCAATTATCTGACGGAAAAACGAAGGATTTATAGAGTTTAATAAAACTAGTTTATTTTCGGATAGTGACAATTGTTTCGGATGTTTTGTCAAGGTAGTGAATTCTAGTTGTTTAGCTTTTAGTATTGTTTTAAAACTACTGATGTGAGAAATTAATTCAAACCATTTTAACTTATTGAAATAAACAATGGAGAGACACTTTAATTTTAGTGTATATTAAAGTTATACAAAATTCGGACAGTGCACAGTAATTCGGATATTTTTTCCCTTCCATTTTATTCTTGTTCCTTTTTCAATTATATATACATGTTAATATGGTACCTATCAAATTATGATTGAATTAAAAAATATAATATTTGATTAAACCATTTCAGATGTATAGACAAGGAGGTATATGACAAGTATAGAATATACAGTTGTTCAATATGGACCATTAATCAACTGTTTGCATTGCCTATGATCCTGAAATATCTATACATCAAAGGTAAATACATGTAAAATAATTGATTAATTTTTGAGATCGGAAAGATAAACAATTATCAAAATTTATTATATACTTATAAATTAAATATTGAGAAATATTGATGAAATAAAATGCGTATTTTCATTTTCCGTATTTTCACTGTAAAAATTTATTTTTCACTGCAGTGAAACATATTTTCCGTATTTTCACTGGTGTCTTGCCGGACTACTTTCTTTTTAATTCTACCAGTACACAAAATTTAAGGGAAAGTTTTTCAAATTTTATCGCAAAAAAGAGAAAAATGTACATAATAAACAGAAAATTCAAGTTTTTTTCTATAAATACATGATTTATTTTCATCTTGTGGCATGAAAATTACCATATTTCACTCGTGGCTACCGCCACTCATGAAATATTTATTTTCATACCACTCAATGAAAATAAATCATGTATTTATAGAAAAAACTTGAATATCCTCTATATATTAATAACTTTTGGATTTCACTGCATGATAATTGATAAGTAAATAAAACATTAAAAATAGTCATGTTTCACATTCAAGAAGATCAATATTTTTTACTGTTATATATTATGTGTTGTTGTTTATCTTTAATGTTTATTTACTTCAAATATGAAATTTTTCTGTCAATCATGACCAGCTTATTAAATGTAATGTAAATATCATTTCTAGTGTCTTACACTTGTAACAACATATTTATTGATTTTTCATTCTGCAGATAAAAAGGGAAAAGATGAGGAGGATTTGTCCATGAAGACCTTTATTGCAACTACCATCTTCCAGTTCCTTAATTTGAGAATGATATCAGAGAACACAAAGTTACAGTGAAATATTAGTTTAATATAAGCCACTGAGAATAGTCAAATGTACTTTCCTGAAGAAGATGAATGACATCCAGCACAAAAATATTAATGTATAAAGAGTATGATTTTATGGTGTTTGACACTATGATCTTGTTAACATGTTAATGTCACAATGATAGAAACAGAGTAAAATATCCACATTTAATTGCAGTTTTAAGTATTAAAACTAGATACTCTATATATACCAAAGCTGATAACACACCAGAGATAAGGTTTTTCATGGAATCACAGTATAGTCATATGACATTATGGACATAAAATGACTATGAAGTAAAGATTAGCAAAAATATTATATATCATCTACTACTAAGTACTAATATTGTGAGGTAATCATTGATAAGCTCACAAATTTGCATTCAAAGCTTTGATATCAAGCTGAACATTTTTCAATTAGAATATGATTTATAACTCTATGATAATTTGTTCATGTTAATTTTCAAAGTCTTTACATTTGTAAAAGGAAATATTCTTATTTTTGTATCAGTAGACATTCACAGTGTAAATTTACATTGTCCAAATAACTAATAATAATTCCAAGTGCTTTCCTGAAGTTTTTCTTCCACTGGAAAATCAGTGTGATATATAATTATGCTAAGCAGTGCACTATAAATTGTGTAAAAATAAAAGTTTATTAAACTTATGAACTGTTTTTTGTTTCTACTATTTGGCATATATTTATAGCAGTGCTTAATCATAAAAGTTCATCTGCAAAATAAGTGTCACTGTGTACTTTAATTCTCTAACAGCAATGGCTAGATTGCTTGAATATGCAAGCATTGACTATATTAAATACTATGCATGTCATTTGAATTTTGTCTGTCCTGAAATCGAAACAGACACTATCTAAATAATATTGATGAAAAGTTCTTGACAGCTCTTCAATGACTACATTTACACATATGTACATGGACAGAAGTTAAAAGCATTGTGTGGTGTTTTTGTTGTTGTTTTTTTTTAAACATTGACAATTTTGAAACAGTTCCAATGGGTATATTAATGTATCAGTGATGTAATTGTTTTGTATCAAGTGCAAACCCTAAGTTTTGCATGTATTGTATAGATAATTCACTTTTGGTCAAATGTCAACAGGTTCAATACATTATAAAACAGGTAATTTGAAATCCAAAGAAGTATATGGTATGTAATAACTACCCCTCTGATACTAAAATCTTCAAGGAATGCAGAATTGCAAGTCTTCTCCAATTAAGAGAGAGACTTGGGCTTACAAGGGCTAGCAAGCTAGTGTTTTGCTACAGAATACTCAACACAGATGAATTGCATTAATATTGTTTACTCTGGTATTACTACCTGCCATGTACAATGCAAATCATGGCTTTTCTAAGAGCAGTGAAAGGCTATAACTGGAAGAAATTTTACACATCTTGTCTCAGAAACAAGTTTTTCTTTGAGATGATTTTTATGATATTAAAATAATGGTTAAAGATTACATTACTTTTACAATTGCAGTGATCGTGGTGATAATATGAAATGAAACTCAATCAAGATAGAAACATTTTAATGCTGAACATTAATCTTTTTACCATTCCTGTTACTTTACAAGTCTATTTATAACAAATTTATCTTAACTGTTTTGAAACTACATGATGCCTGGTTGAAACTGTTTTGGGCAGCCATTTGCAGAAGATAAATTATCTTTGAATAATTAAGTTAATACAAAGTTACAAATGAAAGGTTATTTATTTCTAACAAAGACAGGTTATTTATTTCTTACAAAGACAGATATTTTGTTTAACATTTTTACACTGACATATATCTTTGAAGTGTCTTCAACCTTAGTTTTTATTAGAATACAAACATTCAGTCAGACAGTTTACACAAGACATGGAGCTTTAAGAAGCTTTAATTCAGTCAAAATCTGTAATGGACTGCCATGTCTCTACCACTATGTACTCCAAGACTGTGTATGGACATTTCCTTTCAACTATGCCTGGTGGTATCACTATTTGATTTCTAATCTGATGGTGAACACTCCAAAATAAATCAAGAGCCATGACAAGTACTCAAGATCCAACCATGAAATCACATACCTGTATATAAAGAAAATTTATCATGAGTTGAAAGCAATAATAATTGGTCAGCTATAAATTTCAATCATTTTCATATTGTCATGAATAGAAAATAATGTTGAAAAGGAAGAAACACTTCTTGGTGTCCTAGTTTTTGTAGATTTGCTTTGACAACTGATCTTTAAAAAATGTGATAGTGACTAAGTTCTTTTAACATTTAACATTTTAACTGAACATGATTTAACTAAAAAATATGATCCACTTACTTGAGAAAAATACTTTAAACAGTATTTAACATGAATTAACTACATATGCCATACTGTTTGTTTATTTAGCTACACTGTAATTATTTACAAAAACGAGAACATTATATGTTATACAATAATATTTATTTTTCATTAATGTAGTTTAAGTAGCTTTAAGTATATATTTCTTACCAAAACAATTTGACAGCAGAACATGCATGTGTATTTACATCGGATACCAGTTGACGTCTTTCATCTCACCACTTATCTACAGGAGCAAAATATTTCATTGAATTTTATGACAATTTAAATTGGTTATATACAGCTTGACTGTTTGTGCTTTATAAAGATAATAATTATAAATAAATGATATTTTCAGTTGGAAGAAAATATATTCAACTAAAACACACTGATAATCATATTGAAACGTTTATCCGAAATATGCGCTGTCCGAAATTTCTAAACATTATATACTTCTGAGAGATAATCAGGTAGCACTATAGAAAATTGATAAAATCAAATTCACCAGTCTGGTGTCAGATGCGAATGATGTTGTATCAAAAAACAAATTTATTAGATTTACATGGAAATGAAAATATTTCAACATTTATCGGGATAAACTGAATTTGAAATGACACACCCACCTGAAGATTATACGAAGTTGTCTTTCATTGATACTTGTTCACAAGATGAGACCATTTGCATTTCGTTACAAAACAAAAATCTCTGCCAATTTCCACATATCATTTGCTTTTCCATGTAAGTTTTACTTTCCCACCGGCATACAAGTATTACCCAATATAGATAAGCAATGTTGTTGATATTTGTTTGTACCCGGAAGTGCAAAATATCGTGAAATCTCGCAAGTCACATGACGAGACTTACATACCCTATTACTTTATTCAACGATTTAAATACATTTAGTTATGCAGATACAACAAGAACATAATATTCTGTTTATCACGTACTAGTACCCAAAAAATAAGAACTGTTTTCCTAAAAAGATAGAAATATATTAATTGGAGCGCAACTTCATGCAGTATTTGTTAACACAAATGATGATTTATAAACGATTTTTTAAAACAATATTAAGCTCGCCAAAGGCTCACAGAATATGATTTTATTCAAAACGTTCAATAAATTTAGTATTGAACTTACATTAATTCAATATTCTATATGTACATGTATTATATTATAGGTATGGTGTTAAATGGTAAGGCTGATACAGGCCACCACGATCCAGTTGATCTTAAATGTTTGTTTTCCTGTAGAGGTACTGGAGTGGACCTAGTATGTGGAACAGATGGACGAACTTACAGTAAATGTTCTTTTTTTATATTCAAAATGATTAAAAAATTACCAAAAACGATACATTATTCAAATTGCAATATTTTGGCAACACCAGTTGAAGTTCAGTTGTTGGCTGGTGATGTCATTGGAACAATTGGTTCACAATTAGTTCCAATTATAATTATTATCTTACTTATGGCAATACTGATATGATAACGTCCGTCGGGACTAAATTGCCAACCTGTAGCATCAATGGTTATTGATGTTACCTTTGGTATTCTAGTATTGGTGCCATTTAAAATAATTTAATATAAACTGTTACAGTTTATAAATCGCTCAGGTATCAAACTTATAGGGACCAGCGCTGACCAACATCATCCGCCACAGTCATTTGTGCCGTTTGATCATGATCTGCACTGTTCGCTATTCATTCAGTATTTATTTGATTATTTTTCTATATATGTAAAGCAAAGATGGACAAGTCCATCAAAAATATATATAGTAGATATCATGTATATTAAATATACATTTGATTTTGAGACGAATTTTTATTTCATGTTATAGCCTACTCTATTCCTATACATCGGTTGTTCTATGTGATATTTTATCCTGTGCGTATTTTATTTCATGCCATATGATATGTTTTGAGTGCTGGTTTTTTTTTGTAATTAATAATTTCATGATTTATAAAATTCTATTTTATGTCATTTCGTATTCTTCGTGTTTTTTAAAAAAATGTTTTATGCTATGCCCATGCAATCAGATTTTGCTTGCGTTTGTAATTCCATGCTATACGAGTACTATGCAAGAGTTTTAAGACTTTATTTCCAATACTAGTATACACCTGGACATTATGCCCATGCGTACATTGTACGTACGATACGTGATAATTATAATGCTCATATATCATTTTAATAGGTATTTTATGTCATTTAATATGTTATTCTATTGCAGTAAACATGTGCGAGTTTAAGAGAGGAGTATGTCGAAATGAATCATTGAGGGTAGCATACAAAGGACCATGTGTTTAAAATATTTGAAAACTAATAAAGCAAATAAATGTATCTGTAAAAATGAAGATGTGCTTATTTTCTATATTTCTATTCAAAGTTTTAAAAGTGTTTCATCTTATTATGGTAAAGTAGATCAAATTACAGATTTATATGTAAAAATGGACCCTTCATTAACTTTGGACTGTTTATATATACTCAAAGAGCAAACATTCAAATTGAGATGGACACTGGTATGTTATACAATGTATGTTTTATATGTATACGTTATATACCTAGATGATACAGAAATTATTCACTACCAAGTTACCATATAGTGTTAAAATGTATCTGATAGATTTTTTTTTGTTATTTCATTAAGTGCGAATTTTGTTCCATGAGAACATACTTTTCAATCTCCCGAGATATTTGTATAAATGAAGTTCAACTGAATATGAGCCGTGTCACGACAAAACCAACATAGTGGGTTTGCGACCAGCATGGATCCAGACACGCCTGCGCATCCGCGCAGTCTGGATGCGCAGGCTGGTCTGGATCCATGCTGGTCGCAAACCCATTATGTTGGTTTTGTCGTGACGCGGCTCATATATGTAGACGAAGAAGATATCATATATACGTGCGCTTTATATAGGAATTACTTTGGTATTGCATGGCCTGGATTTGTGTCAAAGTGAGTTTTAATTAGTTTATATCAAGCCGGGAACCGGACACTTATTCTGTTAGGGTATCTTTGTAACTGTTGAATTTTTAAGGTATAAAGAGTTTTATCGTTTTGGGCTGTTGTACATTTTAACTTGGGAATGTAAACGTACATGTTCATATTTAGTGTTTGCAAACTTGTGTTTATGCTTGGTATTATAGCAAACAAGTACACGATTGTCATCTGATACAGTGTTTAATATTCAATTATCAGTCATTTTGCGTCATGATTGGTTTGGAAAGGTAGGTACAAAATTTTGTCAATTAAAATATATCTAATACTCATTAATATTTGACACAGCTGAAAATGCATGTGGCAATAATCAATTCAGAATAAGGATTTTTGTACTTTTAAACTTAGATACGGAAGTAAAGAATCGTTAGAACAGATACACTTCTGTATTTGATAATGAAACTGCTGCACATATAGAAGATTACATAAATCGTTAGTCTAGTAAAATTTACCATTCGACTGTTGTTATTCCTCCATTTTCATATAAGTTAATCCTTGACTTGAAGATTGATACCAATCTTTATTTACATTGTAAATCAGCAATTTTTACAAGGCATAATTAAGATAGTAAACAAAAACCGGTTATCTTTTTATGTCTGTTTATAGTATGGGCAATGTCAAAGTTTGTAACGACAGTAATGGTACACACAACTTAGAGGTCAAGCAGCGCCAGACAAAAATCAGAACTGCAGAAAAGCTGTGTGTCCGAAGAATACCTCCTCGAATCTAGGAACAAATTGAGGGAAAAAATGCTGTAGCTACAAAAACCAAGTATACAGCAAGACGGACAACCAAACATTTAACAACTGCTTCAGATCCAGTTTATTTGGCTTCAAGAACACCTGCTATCAAGCCAGATCAATGGTTTCTGAGGCCAAAAGGTTGGATGATGTCAACTGAGCTGGTGTGGACAGAAGGTTTACCAACCAATCGACCAGTAAACACATGATGCACAAAATACGGGACAGTGGCACAGCACACACTGATTTCATGCAAATTTCTTGGCACAAGAATGTTCAAAAGCATCTTGAACTCTTCAGATATGTCTCTTATAGATCAAAAAGCTTGTTCAAACATTTTTTTCTACCAATAACACAAGCCTCCCCCTTCCAGCCCATATCAGCCTTGCCTGATAACTTTGATGTCAAAAGACAATAGCCTGTTATTCTCATTTTATTGGACTCCATATGACATTTTATTTTCTTTTATGCTTAGTCTTTTCACGATCCTCTGTAATTAATAATTGATTTTGTAAACATAAGTTCAAGGTAATATCTCATTTTAAAATGGATAGACTTGTAGATGACAACCAACCTTTTTGCAAAGTTTATAGTATATTTGGAATCATTCCGGACACACTCTGCAACACGTTTTTCAACTTGTCACTAGTCTCCGAGAGTCTCAAATATGCTATTTCTTTAGAATTAACACACCTCGTAAAGCAATGGTCAGCGAAAACTAAAAGCAGCAAGCATTTATTACCGGTTTATTGACAAATACTTACAGATTATTTACTTAAATAATGAAGAAATTATTCAGTACCAAGAAGTGTAAAACTACCTCTCATCCGTATATAAAATCGCAGTAAACATCATATTGACATGTCCTTTATAGAGGAAATACTGTGTTATGGCTTGAACTGATATCAGCAGAAACTGCATACATATTGAATGATAAGATTATATTTTCTAAGTTGTCCTAATATTACTAGACAGATGTATAGAATTTATTACTCACACTACGTCAAAGACTTTAAAATACTTGAACTCTCTATACATTTCCTTTTATAATATGTTGATAAGGTTTAATAAATGTTGGTATAACTCTGATGCAGATGTATAATGTTGTACCGAAAGAGAGTTCTCATATTTCAATACGTTAAAATTATTTATCTTTACCTTGACATTTTCGAAAAACTCTGTATTATGAATAGATAAATCAAAATTTACCGTCTAAATTAGCATATTTGACAGTGTCTACTTTGAATATTTGAATTTCTTTGCAAATGCTATTTAGATTTCAATCAAATTAGCAATTGTTATGTTTGACAGGAAGTAATCTTTTGTCATTTTCCGAGCCAATAGATGATTATTTCTTTGTAAGCAACTTCAAGTAAAGGAGGGTGACAAAATGTTGCTAAAAGTCAGCTTTTGTTTTCTTCTGTTTAGTTGTAAGAGACGAAACATAGATTGGATTATTTCATGCATTTTGTTTTCGTTTTTTTAGAACCCATGAATTCAAATTCGAGTCTATATTTAAAGAGATGAGTTCGCACTGAATTGATATTTACTTATATTTTAGGTATGATATTGAAAGGTAAAACTGATACGGATCATCCAGACCCAGTCGATCCTGAATGTTTGTTTGGCTGCACTGGTCTTTGGGAACCAGTTTGTGGAACAGACGGGCAGACTTACAGTAAATGTTCTATGAATTTCTATAAATATTACTTATTAATGCATTTAATATAGATATCTTACGCGTTTGTTTTCTTTTTTTACTTTTTTTTTTCTATAAAGTCATGATATCTTTTGTAAATTAAATCATTATTAATGCGTGTTTATAATAATGCGTTTGTTACTTCATGTCATATACAATACAATCTACCTGTTATTTAATGTTCTCTTCTACATCATGCGGGTAGTACACTGTGCCAATTTTATTTTGTATCATAAAATATTCCATGCGTTTGTTACATACAAGATGTTAAATGTTATTTTAATAAAAAACAATATTGAACGAATTAAAAAAGAATTATATTATGGGAGCCTGTGGTGAGTTCAATAATCTAAGTATTAAATCTACACGAATGTTTTAATTTATATATTTATCACATATCCAAAATAAGAACGGTAATGTTATTTTCATGGACACGACCGTAATACTTACAAGAGCGCTTTTACGTTGTTGATAACCAAGCAAATACTGTTATGAATACAGTATTTTGAAGCCTATGATCTGCTTATTGTCAAATCCGCCAATAGTCCGTCTGTATTTACTAGCAGGCGCATTAATTTTTCACCCTTCTAAGGAACAGAAAAATGTTTCCGAGGCGTTCACAAATAACAATGTACTTCTACATCCTAGATGGTTACATGCGTGTGCGCATATTTTTTTATTGTGTTTTATTCTTTATAGCCTATTTCTCGATTCGATTGCAATTACTTAAAAAATAGTTAAACGTTATGACATTACATATTTGAAATACTTTTAATTGCACTGCCATTGAACGTCTGACGTCATCTGTTTGCGTGTGTCTACAGTCTGAAGTTGCTGGGTCTTCTTATAACTTTTCGTCAATTATAAATTCGTTTAACAAGTTGCTGACGGGATATATGGGAGAATGTAGCATTGCTGACATAAAAATAACTCTAGTCTCAGGTCTGATTCGTGCTGTAGGCTTATCTTCTCGTTTATCCCATCAGCAAACAATGTGTTGCTCTGTTGCAGGTAATCGGTGCATACGGAAAGCACCGAGAGTCATATTTATCTTCTCCCGTGCATCCCGTCATCAACTTGTGTAATTAATAATATGTTGCTCTATTGCAGGTAATTGGTGCTTGCTTATGAACGAAAAATGTCGAAATGAATCATTGCGGGTAGCATACAATGGACCATGTGTTTAAAATATTTGAAAACTAATTAAGTAAATAAATGTAAAGAATAAAAATGTCTTGATGTTCTTTTGACCATTCATATAAGATCTAAAACAATTTTTATCTTTTTGTTGTAAACTAGTTAAGTTACACATTTAGATGGTAAAACAAGGTCTTACATTTCTTACATTTAATTAAGAACGCGTAAGTTTATATAAACGCGAAAGCATTATATTGTACATAAAAAAGAAATTAGATAGGTTATTTACTTTACTAATGAAGAAATTATTCAATACCAAAGTAGTGTAAAACCGCCTCTGAAAGATTATTTTCGCTTAGTATGAACAAACTTTCAATGGTCCAATCGTATGTATATCAACAGCAGACATTATATTTACATGTCCTTTACATAGAATATACTTTAGTGTTGTATGAGTTGATGTCAGACGAAACAGAAACTGCATACATACTATATGACACAATTATATATCCCAAGTCCTAACATTTTCATGATATATTGAATTTATTACCAACACTTGATTCTACACACTAATACTTGAACTTTTGTTTTTTCCATACTATCCATTACCTCTTTCAATATCATCAAGTGAGTTTTAGTTGTTGTTTTTCAAGCCGGAAACATCAAATAAATACTGTTTAGAGACAAATATCCAGATGTATCTATGCCACAGATGAATATTTAGGGTGTTAAGGTTTTAATCGTTTTTGCGTTGTTTTACTTTGACAATCATACATTGTACTTGGCAAACATCGATGGCGATACTTACATCATTTTTCTAATGTTTAGTGTTTCGAACTAGATAGGCTACTGATATTATTAGCAATAAATGCACGATGGTCATCAAATAAAATTTTGCCAAATACAACTAAAACTGACGTATTATCAATTGTCAGCGATTTAGTGTCGTGATTGTTTTAAAATGGTAATTAAAAAGTATGCTATAAAAAAGTCATTATTTGGGGATCACAATACGATTTGATCATTAAATTGAAATATTCCTTATGATTTGATCGTTAAATAGGAATATTTCATTATTTGGTCTTCAAATTAGAATATTTTTCGCACACAAATGTACAGTTTCATTAATCTATCCGGATAAGATGTTAAGTTAAAGCATATTTTATTCTTTGATATGCCAAAATGTTTCCTGTAAAACTAGGTTAAATTATAATAAATTTTAAACAGCTGAAAAAAGAACGTGGCAATAATCAATTCGGAATGAAATATTGCTGTCAAAATATTCATTAATTTTGTACTTCTTAACTTAAATACGACAGTAAAGACATGTAAGAACAATTATTCTTTTATATAAATAGATAATGAAAATGTTGTATATATATATATAGAACTTTTGATACATCATCAGTCTAGAAAGATTTAGATCTGAAGGTTGTCGAAATGTTTTTTTCAAATCTTCATTTTCATTTTAATGACTTTAGGTAAGTTATCATTTTTATTTTGTTTATTGATAAATTAGAGATTTCATCCAATTAACTTTCAATTATTTTTCTTCGCATTTAAAAAAGATATATATGTTTGTAGGACAAGACAAGACATTTCTTATTTATTTATTTTATAGGTGTAAATGGATTTGCAAGTGATCCAGATACTATAGCAGAAATTTGTCCTACAGGTTGTTCGTTTTTATTGGACCCTGTTTGTGGTTCCGATGGAATAACATATGGTAAGTTATTACATATTTAACAGCCATATTCTGATGTAAAATTAAACCTTTTCATTTGATAAAATGCAGATAATAATAACAAACATTCTCCTGCAAAACGTGTTTATATTATTAGTTATAAACATTTTTGACAGGTTATATGGCCCGATAAAGGTCGCTTTTCATTGGATAATCGTGACATTTATATTATATGTTATTTTAGTTTTGGAGTGATATATGTGGATATATTACCTGTCAAGATTTTATATCACCCGAACCGTTAGGCGAGGGTGATATTTTATCTTGGCAGGTAATATATCCACATATATCACTCCAAAACCAAAATAATAATTTTATAACCCTTCCTCTGCCGAGTTAAGACGATTTTAAAATAAATCATTGCAACTTCAAATGAAACGTAGAAATAAGATTCCCTTTAGGGTACCCCTTCATCAATACATGACGTCACATAAATACATATTTTCTTTCGAACCTAACGAATGTAAACAAGAGAAAAGGAGAAGTCTGTTGAACGCACTTTTTTTGGATTTAATATCAAGCTTTCACAAGGTCATATTTGTTTTCAATACTGATGAGAATATGTATGATTACTCTCTTTTGGTAAATATTTATCATTTGACACTAAAAAAGTGTTTGTAAATCGGAATTTACATCGCGTAAAATTAAACCGTACGCGCATCGCCACAGCGCATGTTGTTTAGAACGTGAGGTACCCAACGGGGAAATTTAGTGTGTATATTACCCGTCTGGCTCGGTAATATCAATTTCTTTCGGGTGATCAATATCCAATCAAAAAGGCGGAAAAAATCTGTAAGGGTAAAAATATATGTTATTTTGGTTTTGGAGTGATATATGTGGATATATTACCTATCAAGATTTTATATCACCCGAGCCGTTAGGCGAGGGTGATATTTTATCTTGGCAGGTAATATATCCACATAATTATATCACTCCAAAACCAAAATAATAATTGTATTACCCTTCCCCTGCCGAGTTAAGACGATTTTAAAATAAATCATTGCTATTTCAAATGAAACGTCGAAATAAGATTCCCTTTAGGGTACCCCTTCACCACAACATGACGTCACATAAATACATGACGTATTTTTTTCGAACCTAACGAATGTAAACAAGAGAAAATGAGTAGTCTGTTGAATGCACTTTTTGGAATTAATATCAAGCTTTCACAAGATCATATTTGTTTTCAATACTGATGAGAATATGTAACATTACTCTATTTTGGTAAATATTTATCATTTGACAGTTAGAAAAAAAGCTTGTAAATCGGAATTAACATCGCGTAAAATCAAACCGTACGCACATCGCCACAGCGCATGTTGTTGACCCAACGGGAAATTTAGTGTGTATATTACCCGTCTGGCTCGGTAATATCAAAATGTCAAAAAGGCGGAAAAAGTCTTGAAGGGTAATAAAGTTTTATATAAACGTCACGATTATCCAATGAAAAGCGACGTTACGAATTTGCAGTATTATAAAACGTGAAATAAGTATTGGTAACATTACTATGACGTTATTAAATGTGCGTGTCTGTGTTCAGAAACATTTTAAGTATCTTTTAAATGCATGTAATTTGTTTAATCTTTTTACATTTTTATATTTTTAGCAGTTCAAGTGTACTGAAAAAAATAGTTATGAAATATTAGTTAGTAATTCATTACAAAAGAATTCATCTACATGTTTAAACAGAACAATAATATAATTCAACATGTCATATTTTATCTGAAGGTTTAAGTTATTTTGATACATCTTTGTGCATGTAATATATGTAAAGTAACAAAATTTTCTTTACAATTAACATTATTGACACCATCGAATGTTGAGTATTGTAGGAATTATGTCTACAGTAATTGAATATTGAGAAAATTCTTTTTTTCCCTTTCAGATAACCGATGTTTATTCAAAATGGCATACTGCAAAGATGATGATTTATTTATCGCCTATGATGGACCCTGCAAAACGTAGATTCGTTGTATATAGCATAGCTGATTAAAATAATAGTAAACAGAACATATTGTTATCTTTTCTGCTAAATCTTATCATGTTCCTCTGTAACTTTTAATGAATTACATCAAAATTCGAGGTTATATGATAGAACTTAGGTTTGTAGATGTCCACCAACGTGTCTTTTAATTTGGAATCTTTCCGGCCTTACGCTGTGGCACACACTTGTCGATGGGAGAGTCTGAAATATTCCTTTTTTCAGCACTAAAGGCCTCAACAGACGGTAGGATTTTAAAGTACAACACCAATTAAAACTAAGATGTACAGACAAATCTTAATGTGTGAAGGCTACTATTTCTTGATTTCGGAAACCTTAAGTCTAGATGTAAGGGATATGACATGTTCTATTTTGAAAATCTTGTCGTACCGATTTTTTAAGACCTCCCACAATGACAAGTAACAGATTACCAAATTATCTCCTGATAATGGGTGTAATGAATGAAATTCCAGAACAATTAGACCCAAAGTTGTGTTAAAATATGTTCGAATCCCAAATTATTCCGAAAATGATTATGTCACGGTATTGAATTGTTCTCTAATTAGGGGAGGGGAGGTAGTTTGTAGGCGGCCAGATAGCTTAGTCAGTTGAGTCGCAGTACGGTATTCCGAGGGTCCCAGGTTTGAGTCTCGGTCATGCCTCACATTAAAAAAAAATATATATATTTTTTTAATGGAGGTGTTTCAATCATTACTCATGGCGAAAAAAGTATTTAGTGAGTAAAGTATGTAAAGGATCAATGTAAAGGGATCCTTTTTAGGGAAAACCTCAGATGATTCTTACAGTGTAGAATTACCGTCTGAATGCAAGTGTTGTATAGCTTTGAAAATTGTACATCTTATCTCTAATTAGTGCTGTACAGCTAAATCCTACCGTCTGTTGAGGCCTTAAGACACCGTGTAGCGTTGTGGTCAGCCGAAACTGAAGTAGTAAGCATTCAATAGCAGTTTATATGTAATTTGTCACACAAAAGCAAATGCTTACTCACTGCGTACACACTTATCAAGCATATCAAATAATATGCATTACGTGTTCAATATTTGTCAATGATATTGTTGGCGTACGGTACGTAGTGTCAAAACTTGAGAAAGTGAGATTGCGGGCACTAAAGAAAATATGTTTTACAACGAGAAAACGAGTTTCTAAGGCTAAAGAGCTTTTGTCCCCACATTGTCCCCACATTTATTTTATGGCGAATTCAGTGGTATCATTCCTGTAACAATCTAATAATCTGGAAACAAAGTGATCCCTCGGAAGAATTAATCACAGCAAAATTACATGAAAAATTGCAGACTCTGTTTGATTGAGTCTGTACATGAGTGACAATGAATACGCGCAACATCCCTTACGCCCCCTAGCACCGGCTTGAGCGGTACTCAATTCTCAACACTTAATAGTGCTGGCATCAATGATTCCGAAGGACCGAAAATATAACAACACGGAAGTCAAGTACGGGGCAACTTTTTACAGCTGCCCCACGGCACTTGACACCTGTTGTTGTGAAGTATAAAAATCTGGAAACAAAGTGATCCCTCGGAATCATTAATCACGAAAACCAAGTTTTTATAAATTGATCAAAAATATTAACTTGACGCTTGTTGTTAAACAAGATTACCGCGACCTATTTTGTGTTTTCTAGCACAGAGTGCAACATGAAATATGTTTGTTATCCCCGGCCCGAAGGCGCGGAGGGATATAGATTTGGCGTTGTCTCCTTCCTTCTGTCTGTCTTTCTGTACTCACATACTTAAATGGCTATAGGGACAATAGATAAGACAAAATATAACTGCTTGAGAATATTCTTTATTTGAAGTCATATTCGAACGGTTATTACGGCAAATTTTCGAACGTCTACACTGTCGCTTAGCCTACACTGTCGATGAACATTGAGCCAATAAGAACTGTCAGAAATAAGATATTGTCACGCAAAGGTAAGCGTAAACCCTCAGTGACTAAATGTACATTTTTGCAAAAAAAAATTGTATAAAATAATCGTCAATGCAAGAATCTATTAATTTCCATTCCTATTCGAACTGACAAAAGACCAATACTACATTATGCAGACGCGACATGTAAACAAAAAGGCCGTCCAACCTCTACAAACACCAGAGTTAATAGTTATTCTGAAAAAATTAGTTCATATTACTTCTTTTTATTTAGGGACTTTTAGAAAAAAAACATTCTCTTTTTCGGTCTCTGGCCTGCTTGAATGACACATGGCTGCACTAAGACATAAAAAATATTCTGATATATGATCATTTTCTTCTAAACATATCATACTCAGTATTTTTTTTAAAAAAAGACAAAGGGTGACCTGATGAAAAATATGATATATTTTCTAGATATGACCTAATTCAGTTCTAGAATAAACTTTGTATAGTAAGTATAATTGTATAAAGGATCCTTGTTATGATTATCTTACTGACGGACGGACGCATGGAGCGACGAACCAAAGTGCCAAAATTTGGGGTTTATGTGCTTTTTCTTTAATCTTTATATGTGGCATTTTTTTCGTCACATAAACCAGTAAAATAACCACATAAACCAGTCCATAAACCCACTTGTTTATGTGATTTTCTTCTTGATTTTTTACCAAGATTATGGACGAAATGAAGGTCACAAACAAATGATTGTTTGCCCGGACTGACTGACTGATTCACTGACTGTAAATGCATACAATGTCAAAACCTTAATTTTCCCATTTCTTCTGTTAAATGATTATTATTTTTTTCATGTTGGCAGAAAATAAAACAGAAATGAATCCAAAGAAAGGGAATAAGATTAAATGATATTTGATATAAGTTTAAAATGTTAACTCTTAATATGCTATTTGCATAAAATGATTTATTAAAATTTATAAAATTTATTACAATTTTCTGCCTTGATAAGCATACACAAACAACGTTTATTTCTTTCCCTTTGTTGTTTATAATGTAATTGAGTAAGCAATAAAATTTCGTACATCTTACTTGACAAGTACATTTCTTATAAATACCACTCCCTCAGCCGAACAAAACGTATTTCTTTTTAAAGCATCTTCAAGAGAAGGGGTGTGACAAAATGTTGTTTAAATTCGGCATTTATTTTCTTCTGTTTAGTTGTAAGTGAGGGATCTAAGATTGGATTTTTTTTTAAATTATTATCATTTAATTATCTTTTTTCTTTGGAATGTTTATTTGAATTTACATATAGAGAAAAAATTGAGTTGATGTTATCTTATATTGTAGGTATAATGTTGAAAGGTAAGACCGAGGGTCGTCATGTAGGCACAGCCGATCATAGATGTTGTTTTTTCTGTCTTGCGGTGTGGAATCCGGTATGTGGAACAGATGGGAAAACCTATGGTAAATGTTTAAAAAATCTTTTACATTTTTAGTGTAAATAGTGTAAAAATATCCTAAAACTATGGATTTTCTATGTTTTATTCGACCTAAAGTGATAAGACGGTTTTAAGCTTTGAACAAAAATGATTTTTACATATACGGAGTTGCAAAAAAAGTGTTTCCTTGGTAACAAAGAAATTTTGTATTTTTATATCAACAAATATTGACGTGTAACAGTTTTCATGTAATTGAATTTTGATTATTGTGACGATTAAAAAGCTGAACAGTGAGAAGTAAAACTTTCGAGGTTTTTTTTTTTTTGTAAATGTTTTTTTACCTTTGGATACTTTAATCTTTTGATGGAATATCAATCAAGTCTCGAAATTTATTATTGATCCATACACGAAGCACGAAGACAAAATTCTAATAGTTATCAAATTTCAAAACAAAGTGAACAATTTTGTGGTCAATACATTTCTGCAAATTTTATTACCATTTGACACTATTTTGGTCATGTAGGTATAAAGAATTTACAAGTTGTTTTCCTTTGCAACTGAGTATATTTCATCAAAAATTCCAAACGTGGTATTATAAATATGCATACAGCTGATTTTGTTCATTAGTGCAACTTTTAAAGACTATTATATAAAGGATATTGAATAAGTGTATGGTCAGTACTGAATTTATTCAACAATAGGTTATACGAATGTACGCCTTAATGGTCAATTGCTAAGCATCAAAATTCAAAAGCGGTGTTTTATAGTCGATGAACACAGTCCTAACTGCTTTTATTTCATCATATTATAGACTATGCGTTTCTTATTTTGTATAATTTTACGTTATATATATTCCATATATACCTTTCAAGTCATATTAAATTTTAATTCATCTCGCATGATATGTTACTTTTCTTTTTCATATGACATTTTTGCGTGTCTGTTGTTTTATATAGTATGTCACATTATGCATCTATCATTTCAAATGATTTGTAGACGCCGCGTTGTTGTTTTAACAAAGTTACACCGTTTTTAGATTCTTTAATAAAAGTAGCTTTTATGATGTACAACATGTCACTGAGCTTAACGGAATTAAAATAAACGTTTAATTTAAGTGATTGTGCCATGTTTGAATATCATATTCTTTTTGTTTTTATCCTTTTTTATTTACCTAAAAATAACGTGTCAATGAGCCAGTTTATATTTTAATGTCGGGAACCAAATTTGGACAAGGAATCAGGGGTTGACTAAAATACCATCGGATATTTTTTGGGCGCAACGGGCGCTGCGGACAAATTTTTTTTAGCAGAACAGGCACAACATATGCTTATTCATGAAAATAATTAACATTTAAGTCACAAAACAACCGAGTAAAACAGTTTGTTTTCAAATGTTTCACGAGTATTTGTAATAGGTTGTTTTGAAGGATTTTAAGCTGACAAAATGTCGAAATGGACATATTCTTGGTGCAACGGAGATAATTTTTTATAAAGGGAATAATGTATGGTTATAAAATATAACAATTATCAAACTAAAATACATAATATATATCTATATATATTAAATGCAGTATCAACGAAAAAGTGTGTTGTAAATTTTAATACGAAATATTTTTGTAATATCTTTTGGAAGGTTATACATGCCTATGAAATGGACTTCATTGTGATCTCAGCGCAAAGGAGATAATTTTGTATAAAGAGCACAATGAATCTTTATAAAGTATACTTATCGAACTAAAATTTATTCTACATATTGATTTTAATCTTTTTTAAAATTCAATAGGACTATCGTTTTTATTTTTAATCTTTTGAAGGATATGCCGGCAAAATGGATACATTCTCGGCGCAACGATGATATTTTTCTCTACCTCTGTATTTGTCTTGAATTTACTTTAAGTATACCAATCATTTCATTTTTTTTTTGTTATCCAATTTATTTTGCTTCGATCAGACCTTCCAATCTTTGTCGCAACAGACAAACATTTCAGAATTTCAGACATGACATTACTTTGTGACTTTATGCATATGGTTAAAATTTTGCAACTTATTAAACAACGAGCACGTGCCAAGTAAATTCATAAGTGTTTCGGATGTGTAATAGAGAACAATTGTCAAGGCTGATTTTGTATATTACCAGCGACTATTCACGTCATTTGGCGGCGTCTTTGATGTGCAGCATCAACATTTAACTCGTCTTATCTTATTATATATGTTACTCTGTTGCAGGTAATAGGTGCGAGTTTAGGAGAGGAAAATGCCTGAATGAAAAATTGAGGATTGCATACCCTGGAGAATGTGTTTAAAATGCTTGAAAACTGGTGAAGCAAATAAATGTTCCAAAAGGAAAATGTTTTAAATGCTCTTTTTACCATTCATTTAAGTTAGAAAAGTGATTTGCCTTTTTATGATTACACGTTTCTTGACCTACTGAAATAATATCAAGTTTTATTGATTTTGAGAATCATCACAAAGAAGATTGTCTTTTATAGTAATAATAAATTGTCATTTAAATAAACTACCTAATAAATTGGGTGGATATGGTGGCTGATTTGTTACATTTTTGCGCGTCGCATTGTCGCTGACGACAACACGATAAAGCGCAAAACTACGCGTAATCGCCTTGTCATCCTGTCGCTAGCAAAACACGCCAAGCGGCTTATTGATGCTCGTGACAAAGAGTCATGCGACAGCACAATAAGAAGCCAGTCCTTCGATATAAGCCAATGGCGCCATGGCGATAACGCGCCTCACGATAACGCGATAAGTCGAAATATTGGTTGTGTTGTCGCTAGCGACAACGCATCGCGCAAAAGTGTAACAAATCAGCCACCATATCCACTCAATTTATGAAGTAGTTCAGAAACTGGACCGTTTTGATTTGTCCGTGACCTAAATTGTTATTTGTTAATATGAAATTCTGTTTTAATTTATTCAAAATGTCAAAATTCTGAAATTTAACGAAAAGATTTTATGATTTTAAATAATTCATAACGTTGCTTGAATGTTACACGTTTTATTGTCCTGGAAAAAAAACACGTTTTAGACGTCTTTAAAACAGTCTAGCCATTACTCTGTATTATGAAACTAATTCTCACAGTCAGTATTATAAAATGTCTGTCTTATTTGGGCATTAATGAAGTAAAGGTGAAACAATCTTTACTGAATTTATGTTAATGTTAACCTTTGCGCACGATTTCGAAAATGTTGAAACAAATCGACATGACATTTGTTTCCTTGTCTGTGTTTGGCTGAGTTGTTTGTTTTACAGAATGTCCATGTTCAGTTTTGATAGGCTTATTTAAGCCTCTCAAAATTAATCGGCCACTATAAACTAATTAATTTTCGAAACAAAACTTATCCTGAAGTATGCTTGCTGCTACTGTATACTTAAAGCCTAATGAGTTTAATCGTCTTGTGTTTTTTTTACATTTCCAATTTAATTGTGTAATGGGTGATGTTTACATAATTAGACAATGTTGATAGTAAGTTTTTAAGGTACTTGGGTTAATGCCAGTAATTGAAAGCACCAAAAACATGATTTTTACCTGATAAAAGTTTACCAAACGCAACTGACGTATTTACAATTGCCTGTGACTTAAGTTAGTAATTGTTTCAAATGGTAAGTAAATAAGTTAAAATACTTATAACTAAAACTCATTATTTTGGAATTTCTATATAAAACAAAACGTTATTAACAAAAATACATGAGTAACTGTACACACAAGTTAGTAAACACAAATAGTTTAACGCTTAACTTTTTCCTGATATGATTTATGACACTTTTCTTATACTTGAGAAAAAAAATCCTGTCAAAACAAAGGAAATTGAACTTAAAATGCTGAATAGTGTGACAATGATCAATTTAGAATGAAATATTTTTGTTGTCCTATATTTATACTTGTACTTTTGATTTACATAATTATGAAATCTATGAACAAATACTCTTTTGTTTTGATGATGCATAAACTTAAATAGAACATTAAATTTACATCGGTCTGGAAAGATTTACACATTGGATCTGTTGAAAGTGTTTGCACAAATCTGCAAGATTATAATTTATATTATATATCTGGGGGTTTAATAAATTGTTCACCATCCTATTATAAGTATTATCAGAGTATAATAGTTCATTATACATTCTCTTTTAAAACAAAGACAATTTTGTTTCTCAAGATAATCGATTTTTATTCACCATGGCGTATTGTTTAGTTGATGACTTCATGTACAGACTCAATCAAACCGAGTCTACAATTCTTATGTTATTTTGTTGTGATCATTGCTTCCGAGGGATCACTTTGTTCCCAGAATTTTATACACAGGCTAAGACGGACCCTACATAACGTAGGTTTGTTCGATTAGATGAATAAAAGGATTGAACATGTTGATATTTTGTTTTCTTCACCACACTCCAAACAAGAAATGTTTATGTAAGTTCAAATAATAGTTCATGAAAATATCAGTAAACTTTAACCACAATAAATACAAGAAAGATATATAGAAAATGTTCATTTTGTTTCCATTTCACATCTTTATGACGTAGCCTTGCGGTACACCATGGTCTCTTGCTATACATTTGTATATGCAAAAAAACGTAAAGTATTCCCTTTCCTCAGCGATAAGAAACCCGCTTTACTTATTCAAATATAGAAAGCGGATCAGTGATTAATGATATATCGGAGAGTTTCCTTTTTATTTAATCGTCGGTAAGTTGCATTTTACAGCTTCATTCTTTTTATTTGACAATTACATGAAATGATTTATCAAAAAATAACATATTTAACTTTGAAAATCCTGAAGGTCGCATTGATATATTAAAAGGACTAAAATATCTTTAGCAATATTTTAATTATATAAATGTAGGCAAAGCGATGAATTGCATATACATTGTAATAAATTAAATGATTTATTTTGCACTGTCAGGTCTTAAATTTACATGCATCCCGGTATAAATTTGAGCAGTTTTAAACAATTGAAACATATAATTATTAGAAGTGCGTTTTAAGCATTTCATTTGATTACCAGTAAAAAGTTGTTTTTATACTTGAAATATCTTGAAAGTTTCTGTATTATTTTCTCATATTTTGAAACAATAGAAGCAGGTTTTTGAACCTTTAGATTCGGCAATTATTATGACAATGCCTACAATGGGTAATAAATCAGTAATAAAATCAGCAAAATTATATTCACTATTATTGCACGATTATCATATATATAATGCGACAATCTAGGCGGAAAGTTTGCACGCTAAATCTTTGACAATGTTGGCTTATATATTTCTTTGTTGTCTAGCTGTTCAAAGTAAGTACTTTTCCTTTTTAGTAGATTATTCTTTCACATGAACTTGTAGTTTGATTTATAAAGTTATCGTTTGCGTACATAATTTATCCTTTGGGGTTATTGATTTCAATGCGTTTAGTGCTTAAGCCGGTGCTAGGGAGAGTGTGAAATCTTTCTATTATATCTCATGAACAGACTCAATTAAGTCTGCAATTTTTGTTGTTTTCATTTTTCTCGATCTATTAATTCATCTATTCCCAATTTCTGAAATAATTATTATTTGCAAGTCTTGTGAGCAGAAAAAAATCCTTTAAGAAAAGAAGCTACCATGTTATATCATTTAAACCAGATTATTATCTTAAATAGAAAATATTTAAACTTTTTCAACATAACATACGTTAAAACTGAATTTGTGACCGTGATATTTTAGGTGCATATGGAGAGTTAAATGGATTTGAGTTATTTGATAGTGACTGTGGCGAGATTTGTCCCGAAGTATGGGAACCCGTGTGTGGATCTGACGGTATAACATACGGTTAGTGTTTTAACATTCATGCATTCAGATATTCTGAAAGTGACCTTTAAAAACTCTTACAAATTTCAAATGTTGATATAAATTTCATGAAATGAGTTTGATGTTCCTTGAAACATGAAGTCTTCAAATACATGTTTTAACATAATTTACTATATCAATGTATGTGCATGCATCAGCATGCATACGAAATATTAGAATCTCGTACAGAACACAGATTTCTCGTTATAAAGTAATTATTCATTTAAAATGAAACATTTAACGTCCTAGCAATTTATTACAGTGCTTATGTGTCAAATATAAATGACTGGATTTATTTTACATTTTATTGCTTTACAATGCAAAGTACGTTCATATCAACATGTCAAAACAGATTGATTAATTATTAAGAATTGACATAAACTGGAGTAGAATTTTCTAGGTCTATATACTTTAAAATAATTCGTATTTATAAAGGTCTTGGTATCCTTAAAAAATAATTTAAATAATGTGAACCAAATAAACATTTTTTTAACCGAATCTATCCCAAATAATGAAATATTGTCATGACAGATCTTCCACGAAACTTTCTGACTGAAGAATTAATTTCGCATATATTTTTAGGATCTCTAATCATTTGTAATGTATGTAGAGAGTAATAAGATAAATCTAACTTTTAAACGTATCATTTATTTTTTAGGTAATGCTTGTGTATTCAACATTGCACAGTGCCGAAACGAAGAACTAACACTAGCTGCTCCTGGACCTTGCCTCGTCTAGATAAATGGATCAACAATAAAGATGAAGTCGGCAGTTCTGTTTATATAATTTAAAACTTCCAAAATATTTCACTTTTACCGTATCTTGTATAAACTTCTTACACGTAAAAATAAATTATATTGCTTCCAATTACAGAGATTATCAAATTATATAACCATAATGACAGGTGTTTTCTATTAATGAACAAAATATGGACTTCTCAAATTCGCAGTGCATGTTGAGATATTCTTGAATATATATTAAACACCAATTCTGTTAACTTATATACATGTACATGTATAAATCCATCAATTACATGCGATAATAGCATGTACAAACAATATTAAGAATAAGAGAAAACCATCTTAGGTTGTTGTATTGCTTTATAAAAGTTTTGTTCTCCATGTAAGATTTTGCTATCTTTATGTTCAACAACTTTAATACCCAAAATCCGCTGAGGCCTTTGGTTGTAAATGTGGTACACAGAAGCAGATACTTAGAAATGATGATAGTAACACGCATTGAAAATATACTCATGTCAAAATCAACGCCATCAATTTAACAATACAGCTATCTTAAGAAGGGAACATGTAAGTTTGTAGTTACATGGTGCAACCAATTTTATTATCGTGACTATGAGCGATTCAGAAGTCACACATGTAACTTGTAACATTATTTTGTAAACTCTGCGGGAAAAAAAACCCAGAAAATTTATTTAAAAAAATGATATTACAAAATGTTTAATCACATGATACACTTGAATTAACAATAAAAATAACTCCCATTTGCCTAAATATAAATAACATTACAAAAATAGTGAGGGGTATTAAATATAATGTTGGGAACATCCCAATGTGTTTTTCATATCCTTAACATACCATTATCAATTTCATAAAGATCTTCTTTTGATTTCTGTGTTTTGCCTTTTGGTTATTGTTTTTTCAACTTCAAGTATGTAAGGACAAGACTATTAAGATACAAGTGAATCAAAGATGATATAAGTTTTAGTTTGTCGTCTTGTAGATAAATACTATATCTTATCTTCTCAATTAAAATGTTAATTATGGAATGGAACAGAAATATCCGTAGAGAGTACTAAGAAAGCAATATCAACAATGCTGGTGATGAGTCCTGCTAAATGTAGCACGGATTGATCTAATACCAATTTGTTACAAAAAATACTGTATGATTTGAATGCCGTGGCCACTGTTATGTTGTCAGTAAATACTTTAAAACTTCAAACACTTTGGTCTTTCTCTTTCAGAGACAAATTTGAGCCTCTTGCATGATTTTGTCCATTTTGCACTGATTTTTATGTGGAAGATTTGTTAAAAGGTATTTGACTTAAAATAATTTGCTCCTGGCCACTATAGCCTCAACGTGTGGCAGGTATCCAAAATAATGCACGGAGCGGGACCTATTTCTTCATATTTTGTTCAATAAATAATATAAACGAGCATGTAAGCCGAGTTTCACACAAAGCTTTGGCTAAAACATTACGCGCATGAAGTGTAATCATTTCTACATAAATACCTAAAATTTGAGACATTTTTACTGGATATGTTGTTTTTATGCTTAATGTAGTGGTTACTTAAACTATTTATGCTTGATAAAACATCTAAATTGGTTAATGGACAGGCGTATATAAAAGAGCGGTGTTTCTTGAAGTACATCCGAAAGGTATATGGGGTCGTGTGATATGTATGGACATTCTTAAGTATCATAAACAGTATCAAGCTGGTATATGCAATTTCAAGGTGAACGAGAGTATCTCCAAGATATGACCTAAATTGTATCTTTTTAGTTCAGCAATTTTTAAAATATATGCAGTATACTTTATCAATACAATAAGAGTGAGTGAATAACTGTATTACACAGTGCAATCAAAATATTTTGAGTTGGTTCCTATTTATAGTTATTAAGCGTTATGTTAACATGCAAAGACCATGATGTTAAGAGCTCTTAAAACTTAAAGTTTGTTAACATTTACACTCAGTTTTGTAAATGATATTCATATTTTATATTCAAATCTTTGATTTATGTGACATTATCTTTATTCAACACAATGCATATTCAGATAATAAACGATTAAGTTTACAAGACACTTAAATTGAAAGCTTCAAGTGAAAATGGCTTTTATGACAACCAATGCGTAATTAATAAATGTTTAAATCAGCAAAATAATTTTAAGAGAGTTTGACGTCAGTATTATTACACGATTATCAAATAAAATGGAAAAGTTGCATAAGTGATCTACAAAACCTTTGACAATGCTGGTTAATATTTTTCTTTGGTGTCTTGTTATTCAGAGTAAGTAATTTTCTTAATTTCTTTCTCTTTTTTTTCTTGGTAAATTGATTAAATTTTATCAACATTTTACGGTGTCCTTATCGTGCCATTTAGAATGTCGTCCGTCGCGTCTAAGGGTAGACACACGACAATGCGAAGTGACATCGCGACAATGCGAAGCGACGCTCGACAACGCGAAGCGATATGCGACAATGCGAAGCGACGCTCGACAGTGTCAATCGATATGTCGCACTGTCGCCTAGAAATGTCGCGGTAAAAAAGGGCGACATTTAAGAAATGTCGCTTCGCGTTGTCGAGTGTCGCTTCGCATTGTCGAGCGTCGCTTCGCGTTGTCGCGATGTCACTTCGCGTTGTCGCGATGTCACTTCGCGTTGTCGCATTGTCACTTCGCATTGTCGAGTGTCGAGGTTGGTAGAAGTGCATACCACGACACTCGACAATGCGAAACGACAACGCGACAATGCGATACGACGCTCGACAATGCGAAGTGACACTCGACATCGCGAAGCGACATTTTTAAAAATGTCGAGTAAATGTCGCGTTATTTTTATGATTTTTACACCGCGACGCTCAACATTGCGAAGCGACACTCGACAATGCGAAGCGACACTCGACAACGCGAAGCGATACTCGACAACGCGAAGCGACACTCGACAATGCGAAGCGACATTTGGAATAATATCGTATCGCATTGTCGTGCGTCTACCGGTGCTTGGTCAGAATTTACTAACTCACCGACAAACGGTGCGATCATGGAAGGGGTCGCACTAAACTGCTGACGAATTAGCTGACGATATAGAATATATAGGAAACTGCTGACCAGTTAAACAAAGAAGGATTGTCGAAAACTGCTGACCAGTTACACAAAGAAGGGAAACATTGAAGGTGTCAAATTGCCGTTGGTGATATTACAGGCGAGGTCGAGAAATACTTGATAAAATGTTTTTTCAAGATGTCAATATTACAAATGATACATATTAATTATAAAAAATTCAATTGATATATACTGTATATTTCTCAATTTATTTTGATATAATATTTTATTTAAGTACCTTAATGAATTTTCTTCAACGTGTTATATATTGGTTAAAATTTTAAAAATGTAGTCAAAATATGATGTACGAAAAATCATAATTTGTTTCAAGTATGTATAAAACTTTAATACACTTGTTACTATATATAGTAACAAAATTGCCTATGATTTCAACTGATTATGAGTGTCATGTGACCTATTATGAGTTTGCGGCCCGGGGCGAGAACTAGTTATCAGCCCGCAGAACATGTACACGTGCACAAACTGAAACAATGACGTCATATTTTACGTCATCAAACAGTTAACTGTAAAATTGAAAGTAGGTTGTCAGCACGAATCGCTTTATTTTTATTATTATGAGAGCTTAAGCGTATTTAGTACAAACACATTTTTGTTACTATTGAAATTTGAAGAAATAATACGACAAATTTATTCCGAAAAAAATGAAAATAAAACTTGCTTCTAGATTCTACTGCTTTGAACACACAAACAGTAAACATCTCTGTACAGAACAGTAGAAGAGTAGACAAGAATTTCAACGAAAGAACTTTGTTTGTTTTTTTTTTCTTTTTTTTTTTTTAATGCTACTATTAGATCATCCAAGTGTATTAAAGACATTAATACACGTCAGAGTAGGGCCGGAAGGTGATAATCGGCCCTAAATGAATAATGGCCCTCGGGCTAAAGCCCTCGGGTCCATTATTCATTTTGCGGGCCGATTATCACCTTCCGGCCCTCACCTGCCGTGTATTAACCTCTTAATGCATCATAGGTTAAAATATATACATGTACATATACGTAATGTATATTTTAACAAAATATAATTATTATGTCGTATTTAGTGCAAATATGAAATAAAGTGATTTATCACACACCCGTGCCGATTTTGCGACTCCGTAAATATGGTATTGCACGGCCGTGCATATATTTTGACGTGACGTCATTAGCGTTATACAAACATAGTGTAATGACGCGCTAAATGTTAGCGTTATACTATAGGCGCGTCAATGAAAAATGACTCTTATTTCTCTTTAAACGGTCTTTATTTTGGGTATGTGATAAATAGAATATTAAATTCGTGTAAGTTCATTACTGAATTTATTGCACTCGTTGAATAAAAATAATATTATGCTCGCCAGAGGCTCGCATAATATACTAGTAATTTTATTCAACTCGTGCAATAAATTCAGTATTGAACTTACACTCATTCAATATCCTCTATTTCTGTTTCCTTATTTGTTGTTCGTATAATTGTATAAGTAATATTGAACAAAAATTAATAATGTGCTAATTGTTATAGTTAATAAGCTTTTATTACATTATAAACAACATGTTTCCACAGATATCCATTAAACTGATAATTTATCGAGATCGATATGCCCCAAGGTCATATTAAAATCGATTTCACACGCGACGTGTCATTCTTGATTTATCTATGACAAAATACAATAAACAGTCAAAAATATGTTATTAAAATGCTGACCATATTGTAGAATCTGCTGAAAAGTTAGATATTAAAACAAATTATTCATCCTAGGACAGTAAACAGAGATAGTGATGACGTAAACAATCAAAACAAACGAAAGAAACAACGTACTGTCCTAGGATGATAATTTGGTCTTAACGGTACATGGGAAAGTCCAAAAACGGGGTTATCTGGATTATTATCCGATATCGTAAAAGTAAACACTTACAAATACTATATAGCATTATTCTTACAGTATCGTTTGCGTATTACCGTTATGGTTCTGTCGGTAGAATCGAAATTATTTGTAACTTTTAGAGTTTTGTTCTCATAGGTTCGAACCCCAAGTAGTGCCATTTTATAACCACAGGTTTTTCTTCTTGCTCTGTTTTTTATCATTATAATTATTCATTTATTTTCGTTTTCCTTTTTGTTTTCTTCTTATGATATATATATTTTATAGTATATATTTATTTTTTATTTCCATCTTTTTTCTTTTTGTATTTTTTGATCACAGTGAAATAAAATATTCGATCTCATATTCATGTATGCATAAAACCGGTCAAACAATTGACTGTTCTGAGGTAAAAAAAATGTACCAGTAGTCGAACTTCTGTCTGTACGGATAAACTCATTACTGACACGGTTGCTCTACCTGCTGCGCTAACAAGACATATGATAACATGTAGTTTTATTTTCATTTTTATAGATGGTGGCATTGATCTGCCTAACCTATTTTTCGCATTGTTATTGGTCTTTGTTATGTAAACAAAGGCTCAAGTTATCATCCTAGGACAGTGACATATTTGTATACGATACACCAACAGTAAGTAAAATAAATAGTGAAATGAGTACTAATGGAACTTTTCAACAATCATTTACTGGACAATTATTGCAGTCACCTCCGTATCAGTATAATCAACAATATCTTGGTCCACTACCGCCAGGTACACCAATGATGAATCAAGGTACAAACCAAACTCCACCATGGGCTATAGCTATGATGGAAACTATGAACTCCCGTCTTGATAAGATCGACTCCCGACTTGATAAAATTGACAATATTGAAAAAGTAGTAAACTCAATGTGCTTGAAACTCAATGATCTAGATATTAAGGTAAAAAGTATAGAGTCGCGAGTTTGCGATGTAGAAAACAACAGTACATTTATCAGTGAAAAGTATGATAAGCAAACAACAGAATTAGCGTCAACTAAAGATAGTGTAAAGACCATGCAAAATCATGTGACACGTTTAAATTCTACAATCAAAACATTAAGTAAAACCCAGGAAGAACTTAGAACACGCATCTTGGACAACGAATTTAGAAATATGAAGGACAATCTAATATTTTATGGCTTACCGGAAGTACATACCACATCACCGGAAGCATCCATGTTATTAACAAGTTCCTCTACAAGTAACACTGACCAAAATATTAATGTTTTCGCCACAAACATATGATACAGCAACAGACCCTAATTCTTGTGCCTCTATTGTAAAAGAATTTATTAAAAATACATTAAAAATCAGTACTGAGATAGAGTTTGATAGAGCCCATCGCCTTGGTACACTAACCAAACCCGAAAATCCAAGACCGATTGTTGTGAAATTTCACAAGTATAGTTACAGAGAAATAGTAAGGAATACAGCTTTCCATATGAAGGATGTCCTTAAGCAACATAGATATGGTGTTGGAGTACAAATACCCAAAGAGTGGCGAGATGCCATGAATGCTATGAGGCCAGAAAAGCATTAAATAGAGCAAGAAATGTATTTTTGAGAAATAGAACGAACGAGAATAAAAGCATTTTCATAAATAAAAGAAAGGTATATAAGAATATAAAACTTAGATGTAAACGTTTATTCAAAAAGACAGAGGGGAAACGAGTGTCAAAATTAGCAAAATGTAACCCAAAGTCTTTTTGGAGAAATGTGAGAACACAATACAGGCAACCTACTATAGAAAATAGAAACATAAGTATTGATGATATGTATATACATTTTAATAGTTTGTACGGTTCTACACCACTGTATGATCATGAAAATAATGATGTACATAATGATTACATATATGATAATGATTTAGATGTTGAATTTACATCGATGGAGATAAAAAATGCAATATTTTCGCAAAACAATTCCAAATGCCCAGGTACTGACCATCTGATTGCAGAAGTATTTAAAAATTCAATTGATATAATTTGTCCATTTCTCACACGCTTTTATAATAAAATATTTAATGATGGCGTATTTCCTGAATGCTGGGAGAGAAGGTATTATAGTACCAATTTTTAAAGGTGGAGCTCATGAAGCAAAAAACTTTCGCGGAATTACCTTAAATAATATTTTGTCCAAAATATACTCAAAATTATTTAATTTTATCCATGAAATATGGTGCTATATCAGTCAAATATATTTCATATTTTTAAAAAATAAATATGAAATAAAAATATGAAAGTGGGCGAGTTAAAACTCATATTTATTTTAAGGGACTTCTTTCG